AATCCAAATAAAATCATTACTTCGGTTATTTTACCCCCTCGAGTAGTCTCAACTGTTGCGTTGCCACCAAGAAATACCTCTACGACGATTTCAAGCCGTAAGTATAAGTTGACTCTTAGTAAAGCTTACTATTGACCTTTTTAATAAGTTATAAATGATGATTAATGTGCCTTTTTTTCTTAAATAATAATAATAATAATATATATATATATATATTAGAAGGTGAGAACAAAGAAATTTTTGATATAGATCGAAACATAGTTATATAAATCAAGATATTGTACTAGTGTGGATTTATACTGTACAAACTTCTAGAAATATATAAACTTTTGTTTAAATTATTACGTATTATTAAATATTCCGACAAACTTATTTAATTGGCTTTATATATTCTCTTAGCTTGTGAGTATAAAGTTTTTTAAATTACTAATTACTTCGATGTAAGTGTTATATAACATTTCAATGGTTTTGTTTAAATTATTATTTTTTTTTAATCGATCTTTTATAAAAAAAAATTAAAGGATAAAATGATTAAGTTGACAGAAATATTTTCATTCAAGCTATAAGCCCACCCTCAAAATGTTTTGAAGGACACGACTTGATAGAATCTGATCTCAGTTCTTGGAGATGCGACTTATGTGGCAAAGACAATCCTACATCTGTAAATTTTTTCAATTATAGCAGATGCATGTAGTTAAATATGTATTTACATTTATTTTATAAATATTTATACAGAAATGCGGTTACTGCAATATTTGCAATTTCACCACTTGTTCTGTTCATTATAGCCCTGGACAGAAATGTAAGCCTGTAGATCACTGTAATAATGGACATCCTCTTTATTCTCTGCGATCATCTCCTACCTGGTACTGTAGCATATGTATAGTTATTCATAATGATGATGGTATTCGTTTTAGATGCGAGAAATGTGATTACGATATGTGTTATAGATGTTTATTTGTGAGTCGAGTTGACTCAAGTTAGAATAAATAGCAGTTTAGTAAATAAAAAAGCTTTAGTATAGAATAATATAAGATTTATAAAAATTTATAAATAAATATTATTTAAGCGTTTTTTAAGCCATACAAAGTTCCAGAATTATCTTAAACCGTTAGGTTTTAGACTGGAGTCATAAATTTATTTCTAACAAGTACCTTTTAAGTAGAGATGTTACGGTCCTGCAAGGACCATGGTCTTTTGGACCACCAGTTTTCGGTCCTAAATTGAGCCAAAAAAAAATGTCGATGACCGTATTTATAAGTTTCCAATGTCGGCCTAATTAAGCAACTTATTGATTTTTGACTCGACAACTTGTCGATTTGATCATTGTAGTGATGCAGTAGAATCGTTCCAATTATGTTGCTTAAGCCGTAACTGACTGGCCGACAAATTTTATGAAAATACTATATTTATATTGCATCTTCGTACAAAAAGGCACTTTACTAACCTTAACGTACTAAGTTACGATACTATAACATTCGCATTGTATCATTTATTATTTATTAAGCTATGCGAGTACTACCAGATTTTTTCGGCAATGCTGTGTATTTTTCATCTTTTTAAAAAATTTAGGATCCCATGAAGTTTTCGATAAAGATCATCAAAAACATTTATTAATACCCTGCCTTACTATTTGTTGTTCATGCCTACCTTCATTATAATTTCCCACGAGATCATATAATGACCGGGAATCTTCCATGGGAAGATTTCCGGTCACAAATAATCACACGAAAAATCATAATAAAGGTAGGCATGAACAACGTAAGGCAGGGTATTATTCATGAATTTCCTGTGAGGAGTTAAAAATCACAACAGAGATTCCAATAAACATATGATGCAGACGGCCCTTCGGGCCATCTGTATCCTATGTTCATCGAGAATCTCTGTTGTAATTTTTAAGCTCCCAGGAAATTAATAATATTTATTATGTTATGTAAACCAAGAAATTTTCTTTGTATGGCCTTATTTTGTTTTTTTTTTACAAAAAAAATCCAATTTAGGGGGACGTCTAAAGCCATGTCCATTCCTATGTTTTTGACTATTTAGTTAAAGTTAGGGTAAGGGTTAGTTTGGGTTAGGGTTAGAGTGTTTTTTAATAGTAAAATTGCCCTCCCGACATTTTTTATTAATGCTTCAAGATAGGTTTAGACACTCATTTCTTTTATTTTTTTTTTACGTTTTTTACTTTTTTGTCTGTTTTTTTTCTCTTCGGGCTGATCCGTGTCGATCAAAATAAACGATTTTATTGGCTCTGTGTCACGTGATTAGAAACGGCTTTAGACGACCCCCAATTTAGGAAACTTATTTATTATTTTTGTTCATTGCCATTTTAATCGAATAATACTGTATCGGTATATCATGATTACAAACAATAGATGTTTAGATCATTGTATAGAGTAGCATAGCATAACTGCACACACATACACTAAGACAAAATTCTAGCTCTAAAGTTAGTAAATCAAAAACATGCTAAGCCGGAATAATGGGCATCGCCATGGGAACAGACAGGATTTTAAGAGGTAAGATAATTTGTAATGACCTTCCGCAAAAAGTAATACTAACCAAATATAGGATGAGTTGAGAATAGAGAGCGCGAATGCGATTCTATATCAACAATTACCAGTTCAACTCCGGATTATTTCAACACAAGGCATTATGTAATATTTATTGAATTGGCAAATTCTCTGGTTTTTTTTTAAAATCAAAACTCGATACAAAGATACTAAAATAATTAGTGTGATTTAAATATAGCAAACACCGACAGCCTAGTTATAAAAGGTTACAAATTAGAAGACGATGATAATAAATAGTATTTAGTTAAGTGGTAAACAGGAAATTCAATATCTTTATAAATAAATAATATTGCTTATACAATAGAACGCATTTTTCATTGCGCCAATAGAAAATCAGACGCCATTTAACATAACTGAAAACATATTATATGTACTTTCTAATTAATTTCTAGAAGCCATACCATTTGCTATACTCTGTTCTTAACATAGTAATTTTTATTTTTAAATAAATGGTGTAATAAAGAAATTATCGATATTATAGTGAAACTTAAACCGCATAGAGTAATTATATAATTAATATATCGTTACTACGTAAAGTAGCATATTATTGTAATAGTTTAAAATGGTTATTCGACCATGCAACGTCTAATACGCAAAGTTTATATTGCCCTAATTTTCATACACCTGACAACAGACGAAAAACTCCAGGTATGCAAAATACAGGAAACGCAAGGCCATATTCATCGTTGCACACTATTCCCGATATAGGCAGAGGCAAACAAATCAAGTAATTATATTATTGTAATATATCGATAGTTTAAAATGTTTCTCTAATTTATATTGCACTAATTTAGTTCATACACATAACCTTATTCGAAAAGCCCCAGTTACGCAAAAACACAGGGTCATACTCATCGTTGCACACTATTCCTGATATAGGCAGAGGCATACAAATGGAGATATAATCATGTAACAGGTTATCCAATCGGAATCAAAAGAGCTACACCACTTAACTTGCCCGTAAACCATACACTACGTACTTCGTACTCCGTTCCTGGTAAAATATTTTGCCGTAAATATAGAGCTTTATATTTAAAATATTAAGTTTTAAATATTGTGGCGGTTCTTCACTTTCCGGATACAATAATTAGACACATAAAATAAATTTTAATCATGAAACACAATAGAGATAAATGCGGAGACTGTGGTAAAAATCAAAAACTTAAACCTAATAAACTTTGCATTTATTGTAATTCCAAACAAACTAAATGCACCGGCTGTAATAGAAAAGTAAACCTTAAATACGAGAACAACAGTTTATGTGCTGATTGTTATAATGCACGATTTCTGAATATTAATAGTGGAAATAAAGATATTGACAATTTAATTAAAGCATCACATAATAAACAACTTAAATACAGATTAGAATGGGTTCCATTCAAGGACTTCGTAGACATAAATCAAATTGGAACAGGTGGCTTTAGTGAAGTTTACACTGCCACATGGACAAAAGGAACACTAAAGGGTGCTAAAAGAGAACTTGAACGGAATGAAAATGCGACAGTTGTGCTAAAGGTTCTTAAAGATTCCTCTGACATTGATTCTTCATTCTTAAAAGAAGTATGAATATAAATAAATGAATTTAACCATTTAACCTAATTTAGTATTAATAGGTTTTTTTTTTTGTAGTTATAAAATATTGTTGAAAGCCAGCCTAATTCCCCCAAACGTCAACTTGTTCAATGCTATGGAGTGTCACAAGATCCAAATACAAATAATTATATATTTGTTATGTCTTATATGTCTCATGGAAGTTTAAATAAATATTTATCAACTAATTTTAAAAATATTACTTGGAATATGAAACTAAACCTTTTTAGGGATATTGTTAAAGGCATTAAATGGATTCATGAAAACAAAATAATACACCGCGATATACACAGTGGAAATATATTAATAGATAAAAAGAAGAGAAATGGTTCTGATTCTGAATCCTTTATTGCAGATTTAGGATTTAGTCGACCAGCAAAAGAAGATCGGGAAAATTCAGAGCCTAAAATATATGGAATTATGCCATATCTCGCACCTGAGGTATTCAGCAAAAAACAATATTCATTTAGTTCAGATATCTATGGTTTAGGTGGGAACTTACATCTGGACGTCGTCCTTTTTGTGATCGAGCGTATGATGCGCATCTTATGTTTAATATATGCGATG